ATCGCCCGGTGATTTTTTGAGGTTGTCGCCTCTGGCGCTCTTCACCCACCCCCTTTTGTGTCCTTTCCCCTTCGAGCCACTCCTTTTAATCTTGGGCCTCCATTATCCTCTTCAGCTTCTTTATAAGCCGTAGCGTTTTCTCCCCCCCCTCTCTTCTCGCCCGCCCTTTGGCCAGAAACCGCCCAGCGACGCAGACATGGCCGAGGACAACAACCCGCAGCTGGCGCTCAATGTCAAGATCGCCGAGGGGGCGCACCCCGGGCGCGCGGCGGCGGCCCAGAATGGGACCACGCCCATCACGCCGCTGACGCGCGTTGACACGGGCTACGTCGGCGGCGTGTACAACGCCCGGGCCATGGACCGGGCCCGGAGCCGCAACACCGGCTTCTCCCTCTCCCGCCGGCAGTCGGTCGTCTCGGCGCGCAGCGTCGACGACGGGGAGGGAGGTGCCTGGCTGAACGACGGCGTCAAGGAGAAGCAGGTGTTTCGTGGGAGCACGCTGATGTGGTATGTTATTCGACTTTCAACCACCTGAGTGAGTGGCTGCTTTTCTTTTCTTGTGCTAACGTTCCCTTCATCCTAACCGCCGCAGGCTTGCATACCAATCCGTCGGAGTCATCTACGGCGACATCGGAACGAGCCCGCTCTACGTCTTCTCGTCCACCTTCACGTCGGAGCCGTCCCCTGCCGACGTCATCGGGGTCCTGTCCATCATTCTCTGGTCCATCACGCTCGTCGTCACGGTCAAATACGTCCTCATCGTCCTCCTGGCCGACAACGAGGGCGAGGGCGGCACCTTTAGCTGCTACTCTCTCCTCACTCGCTATGTGAGCACAGATGCCAACAGATATTTTAGGTTGAGCGGGGGAAGTAAACGGAGGTATCATGCTGACACACGCACCCTAACGACAGGCAAACATCACGGACCGCGACCCCCGCGAGCAGGGGCTCGTCAAGATGAAGCGGCAACTGACGGGCGACCTCAAGCCGGGCACGGGCACGCTGCGCACGACGCTCGAGAAGAGCCGCTTCTTCCGCGGCCTGCTCAAGGCCATCGGCGTGCTGTCGGTCAGCATGGTCATGGCGGACGGGGTGCTGACGCCGGCGCAGTCGGTGCTGGGCGCCGTCCAGGGGCTCTCGGTCGTCAAGCCCGACATCTCGCAGCCCACCATCGTGGGCTCGACGTGCGGCATCATCGTGCTCCTGTTCCTGATCCAGCCGCTGGGCGTGACCAAGCTCGCGTCCGGCTTCGCGCCCGTCGTCATCCTCTGGCTCGCCTTCAACGGCGGCTTCGGCATTTACAACCTGGCCATGCACGACTGGACGGTCCTCAAGGCCTTTAGCCCCCACTTCGCCTTCGGGTTTTTTGCACAACACAAGACGGAGGCGTGGAAGATGCTGGGCGGCATCCTGCTCAGCTTCACGGGCGTCGAGGCCCTCTTCGCGGACCTGGGCGCCTTCAGCCTGGGCGCCATCCGGATCAGCTGGCTCTGCTACACGTACCCGTGCCTGCTGCTCGCCTACAGCGGGCAGGCGGCCTTCATCACGCAGACGCCCTCGGCCTACTCGAACCCCTTCTTCAACACGGTGCCGCCGGGCATGCTGTACCCCAGCCTGGTGCTGGCGGTGCTGGCGGCCATCGTGGCGAGCCAGGCCATCATCACGGCCACGTTCCAGCTCGTCAGCCAGCTCATGAAGCTGTCGTACTCGCCCCAGGTCAAGGTCGTGCACGTCAGCCGCGTCTTCCACGGCCAGGTCTACGTGCCCATGCTCAACTGGCTGCTCATGGCGGGCGCCGTGCTCGTGACGGCCGTGTACCGCGACACGACGCGCCTGGGCAACGCCTACGGCGTGTGCGTCATGTTTGTCACCTTTTTCGACACGTGCATGGTGACGCTCGTGGCCATCATCGTCTGGCGCCTGAGCCCCTTCCTCGTCTTCCTGCCCTGGCTCTTCTTCGCCACCATCGACGGCCTGTACCTGAGCTCGTCGCTCACAAAGGTGCCCGACGGCGCCTGGCTGACGCTCCTCGTCTCGGGCGCCCTCGCCTGCATGTTCCTGCTCTGGCGCTTCGGCAAGGAGAACCAGTGGCGCGCCGAGGCCGAGGACCGCTTCAAGCTCGGCACCCTCGTGACCGCCGCCGCCCCGGGGACCAGCGGTAGCAGCAGCAACGAAAAGACGGGCGACAGCAACGGTAGCCGGCACGATGGCGATGACGGCCAGGCCCCGGCCGCTCTGCCGCCATCGCCACCACCACCACCGCCACCGCCACCGCACCACGGCCAGCCGCTTCGGCTGACGGACCGGTGGGGCGGCGAGACGCTCTCGACGATCCGCGGGCTCGGCATCTTCTTCGACAAGTCGGGCACCACGACGCCGACCGTCTTCTCGCAGTTCGTCACAAAGTTCGTGGCCGTGCCCGAGGTGGCCGTCTTCTTCCACCTGCACCCCGTGGACGCGCCGACCGTCGACGGCGCCGACCGGTACCTGGTGCAGCGCTTCCGCGAGATCCCGGGCTGCTACCGCCTCATCGTCAAGCACGGCTTCATGGACGAGGTCATCACGCCCGACCTGGCCGCCCTCGTCTACGAGCAGGTGCGCGCCGACGTCGAGCGCGGCGCCGCTGCCAAGCCCGCCGACGCCGACGCCGCCGCCGTCGCCTTCTCGACCGCCGTCGAGGCCAAGGGGCCAATCGACGACGTCACGGGCGCGGAGGAGGAGGCGGCGGCCGTGGACGGCAACGGCAACGGCGACGCGATCCTGCGGCAGAGGAGGCCGGTGACGCTGGCCGACGAGGACGAGGACGAGGACGCGCGCGTCGCGGCCGAGCTGGCCAGGCTAGACAGGGCGTTTGCGGCAAAGGTCATGTACGTGGTGGGCAAGGAGCAGATGCGGGTGCGCGAGGGCACGGGGTTTGGCAGGAGGGTCGTGCTCAGCACTTTCCTGTGGATCCGCGAGAACACGCGCGCCAAGATTGCGAACTTGCGCCTGGCCATGGAGAGGGTAGTCGAAGTGGGCTTTGTCAAGGATATCTGAGCGAGCGGCGGAGGAGGTATGGCGTTTCGGTTTCTTTCGATATCATTTTTCTTGTCTTCTTCTTCGGGTGCTGGGATCACAGGCGATGGGCGGCACCTTATCATGAGAGCTTGGGCGGCCCTTTGTTTCTTCGTATTTCTGCTTTTCGCATTTTACGAGTTACATATATACGCTATTTATTCTTCACGACGCCTCGCCATAATCTCTAGCGTTTGTGGCTACTGTCCGTAGATGGTGCCCAGGCGCTTCGAAAGGTAGTCAATGGCCTCGGCGCGCCAGAGATCCCTTTCGACGTGGGCGATGTCTGTGCCGTTGACATCGAAGACGTAGTTTTGGGGCGTGTCGACCGAGTAAACGGGCCATTGGGCGGGGATGTCTGTGGAAGTAGCTGTCAGTCACCACTTCTCGCTCTTATCCTCTTCTGGCAAAAACGTTTCGAACTTACCGATCCCAGCCTTGTTGGGGTCCATGTTGACAACAAAGCTGACCCACATGCGGCTCATCAGGTTGGCGAGTCGGGGGAAAGTGGCAGGCCCGCCGGCCATGGGGTTGGCTCCGACGTTGCCGTAGCCTTGGCCCTGGACGTTGTTGAAGACAAAGACAACCTCCTGGAAGTGGCCGGCGCCGTGCCATGCGGGCAGGCCCTGGACGCGCACGTCAAAGTTGTAGCTGTACACGGGCACCTTCTCCCGGGCCCAGGCCTGGGCGGCGATGCGGCGCGGGATGTGCATGTAGTAGTCGCCGACGTAGGCGGCCGAGCGCTTCCACTGCTTGCCCAGCTGTGCCGCCAGCCCGCCAGTCGGCCGGCCCTCGAGCGTCGAGGGAACGCCGATTTGGGGGATGTCCGGGTACAGAGCGGCGATGGTCTGGGCCGTGACCTCGTCTATGTGCGGGGCGCTGGCGCGGACCATTCCGAGGAAGTCTTCGTCGGTGTTGATGCCGCGGCGGCCAAATGACCCACCCTCGTCGGTGTTGCAGCCGAGCAAGTAGGGCACCTTGACGAAGCGGCCTTCGGCGAGCTGTGTGGTGCCCAGGTCCTGCAGCAGGTCGCCGTCGACCGCCGGGCGGAAGGACCAGCCGGTCGTGAGGGTGCTGTTGAAGACGGCCGAGAGCTGGGCCGACGGCAGGGCGCGCAGACAGGCCACCGAGTCGGCGGACCCAGAGCAGCCCGTCGCGGCCAGCAGTGCGTCGTAGCGCGGCTGCCACACCTGGGCCGACGCGTCGCCCGGCAGGCCCGACGACGCTCCCGACTGGCTGATGGCGGCGCGGAAGAGGCCGTCATCGCGCCCGCCGTAGGCGATGAGATGCGTGCCGACGCTGTTGCCGCCTGCACTCTCGCCAAAGATTGTGACCTTGGTCTTGTCGCCGCCAAACGCGCCGATATTCTCCTGGATCCAATGCAGCGCCAGGCGCTGGTCGCGCAGGCCGAGGTTGGTAGCACCCTCAGCGGCCAGCTCTTTGCTAAACAGGAAACCCCAGCCTGACAGGCGGTAGTTGATGGTTACAGCAACGATGGGCGTTCCCATATCGACCGACTGCTGTACGAGAAAGCTGGTATTATAACGCGGATCGCTGCCGCCGCCCATGAAATAGCCGCCTCCATGGATCCAGACGGCGACGGGGAGATTAGTGCCGGGGACGACGCCTTCGGGCCGCACGACATTTAGGGTCAGGCAGTCCTCGTTGACGTAGTTGTCGCCCGTTTGAGCCCACTGGTCGCTGCCGTAGCCCTACGGATAGGTAAAAAAGGTCAGCTACCCGCAATTCTCCTACAAGGTGACAGCATCGCAAGGCTTACGATACACTGGTAGCCATATTCTGTGGCGTTGCGGCTACCTTCCCAAGTCGAGTTCAGGGGCTGCGGCTGGCGGAGTCGCAGGTCGCCGACGGGGGGCTGGGCAAACGGCACGCCCATGAAAATGTCCTGCTTGTATGTTGAGCTGTGCAGGCCATAGTATGAGCCGTTGGCCAGCTGGACCGTCGGCGCCGCGTCGCGGGGCAGAGCGGCTGCCGAGGCAGCAGCGGCCAGGATCAGCGAGCCTGCAACAGCAGCTAGGCGAGCCATGATGAGTAGTGACAGGACGAAGAGGAACAAGTTGGGGTCTGCTTGGCTGTCGTCACTCTAACGAAACCGGAGCGTCACGCGGCTGGCCTGGGGAAGGGGGAGGAGACGGGACGTGACAGGAAGGGAGGTCTGGGCGGTTCTTTTTATACTGCCACTGCTGTTGTCCTCATGGCTTCCCCAGACCACCAGTGCTGGACCCGTCGAAGACTCATCTGAACCTGGGCACGATGCAGCTTCCCTTCTTGGACTCCTTTGTGGTTCCATCAGAGCGAGGGGGCTGCTCCGATGCCATCGGCCGCCCACATTGGCCCGCATTTCCCCGCCGCCAAAGGACGAAATAGCGCTCTCGGCATGTCCAGCAGCAGAGGCAGAGCCAGGTGACGTACAGGATTTGTCCTGCCCTGGGCTGGTCGGGGAGATTTCGGGGAAGAAATGTGCCTGCGATGCTCTTCCCCACCGCTCGGATGCCCAATCGCCTCCTTGCAGACCGACCTAGCACGATGGTGGTGGCTGCGGCGAAGATGCGGAGAATGTCAGTCCTTTGGACGGTCCACCAATTTCCCAGCCTGGGCTCGGAACAAATTGCCAATCAGGGTGTCGTTTGAGAGCGGTGGTTTTCGAGTCGGGTTGGGTCCTTGGGTGTGATCTGATGAGCATGACGACATTTATTTGTGATTGAGGCCTTTGTGCTGTCTGAGAAAACGACAGGCCGCTCTTCCCCAGGTTTACCGTATCGCTGGAACTTGCTCTCGAAGACGCCTGCCGCAGATGGTCGACTACATCGACGCCACTTGATTCCACCAGCCATCTCCACTCTCCACTCTACGTGCGGGGGAGAAGGCCCTTCCTCTCTCGTGTGGGGAAGGCGCAAGAGAAAGGCCGGAGCAGGGCCGGCGTCGTCAAGATTCCCCAGCGCCTACCAGAAAGGACAACTGCCGACAAACAAGAGTCGGCAATGGCACGGGCACAGTAACATCCATGATGAAGAAGCATTAAACCGCCCTTTCGCTGACGTCGCATTGCCGGCACAAATTCGGAGCCTGGAAGCGGCCCACGCCCGTGCCAGCTCTTGCCTCGAATGCTGTCGAATCAAAGCCACGCGCACTTGTCACGCAACCAATTGTCCGGTTTCAGGGGACAAGGACAAGGGGGACTGTGCTGTTTACCGAACCCATCATTGGCCCCAATACTCACCCTCACGCTCAAGTCACTGGTGGCAGTTATGAAAAAGAAATCGCTATTCAAATAAGGGTTGAGGCATTGACCAGCCAATAAACTCGGACCAGATGCGAGCGATACCTGCAGGATATGCGGCAAACTCTCCAATAGAGCTTCGTCGGGGCGGAGGGGGCTACGAGGGCGGGTCTACAGTGGGTGAGAGTACCCCTGAGGGAAAGAGGGAAAGGCCTATCAGATGGACTAAGCAGGAGGCGATGAAGGCGCGGATGCCAGCGCGGGTGCCTTCTACGACGATGGCGGCGGATGGCTCCGACCGGCGCCGCGTCGACCGCTTCCGCGACCAGGTCTGGCACCGCTTCCGCGACCGGGGCTGGCACTGCTTCCGCGACCGGGGCTGGCACCGCTTCCGCGGCCAGAGCCGCCTCCTCGTCTATGGCCAGAGCCGCCGCGTCGTGGGGAATCACGGCTAGATCTCGGCCCCGTCGGAGCTCCCAGTGGAGGTCCGGCTGGTAGTGGGATCGAAGAAACGACCGCTGAGAGCCTGTCCCGCTGCGCTTGGAAAAAGGCATGGATATCCTCGAATTCTTGGACGACGCGGGTGCCGTCTTCTCTCTTCCACCGAGTGGACTCTTCGGCGGCAGTAGTTACGCGCAGCTGGAAACCGGACAGCATCCCCCGCTCCACCGACGCGTGTTCGGGCGCTCCGGGAGCGCCCAGCTCGAGGACTGCGACCTCCAATCGACGCAGGAACCACTCGATCTCGCCGTTGAGGAGATAGATGTCGTTCAGAATCTCCGAACTGCGTTGATTTGTCTCGGCGTCAAAGCTAGCGAACCCCACGCGCGGAACCTGCCACCTCTCAGGCTCATCCTTGGTGGCAAACGCGATGGTGTCGTCGAGGTCTTCCTGTGTTGGGGTGTACCACGCGTCGGACTCCTCGGAGAGGCGGTGTATCGTCAGGCGGACCTTCTGGCCGGCCAGCGACTGGGAAAGCAGGGTGGCGCCCTGCTCGGCGGCCACGATGTCGCGGATGGGTGGCGGGGCGATGAATTTGTGGGTGGACTAGTTGTACTGTTTGTCCCTCCGGGCGCTCTCAAAGGCCTTCTCGCAGGCCTTCGACAGGTCGTCGATGGTACTCTCGTTCTTCGGGAACAAAAATGTTCTGGTATCGTCCTTCAGGGTTACAGTAACCCAGATGCCCTCGTTCTCCGCTCGCTCGCCCTCACCCGCGCCTCGTGCAATAGGGCTGGCCGACATGTCGGTGGGCTAGCTCGTTGTGTGAAGGTATGCTTTGCAAGATCAGGGGTGATGTGAGTGCGCTGGAGAGTCTGGAGGAGAAGGGACAATTGTGAGTCTAGCACCGGGGGGACTATCCAAAATATACTCTCTGGTCTGGGGCGGGATATAGACATTATAAAAGGTGCACAAAGCAAAGCTTTCCCATGAACATGCGCTTTGTCGGCAGAGAGATGAAAGAGCTTTGTTGCAGGGCAAAGGAGACGCGGGACGTGTCGTTCCCAGGGGGAAATGCTTCTTTCACAAATGAAAGGCGTTCGTTCACTACTGAATCCCACTTTTTCAATGAAAGGGAGCATGGCCAGTAACAAGGCATTGTCTTTGGGCAAGCTATTTGGCTAGATGGCGGACGGCTGGTGACATGGTGTTTGAGCGGGATATGAGGGCCTGTTGCTAAACAAGGTAGTGTAGGGAGACTAGACTTGGGGGAACTTCAATTACTAGTATGCCATCTTGCTCCTCCGCCTCTTATCATGGGTAGTAGTGATGCCCACACCTGCCGCCTGACCTCACTTGGGGCCATCATCCTGAAAGGACACCACCTCGATATTGTTGCCCGCCGGATCAAACACGAACGCGCCATAGTAGGTCGGGTGGTAGTGCTCCCTGATCCCCGGCCCTCCATTGTCCTTGGCCCCGGCCTTGAGGGCCTCGGCGTGGAAGGCATCGACCTGGGCACGGGCTGTGGGCGCGGAAGCGCCGTGACGTTAGACGCGCATTTACTCGCCGACTCGACCGATGGGATGGAAATAAGGATCGAAAAGGGGCAAAAGCTCACTGCCGCCGAATGCTATGTGCGCGACCGTGTTGGGCTTCACGGACTGGCCCATGACCCAGAAGTCGGTGTGGACCTTGTTGTCGGCGCTGAAGCCGACGGCGGTGCCGAACCGCATCGACTCCTCGTAGCCGAGGGGCGCGAGGGCGGCCAGGTAAAAGGCGACGATTTCGTCGAGGTCGGCCTCGAGGACCTGGATCATGATGTGGTGGAGGACCATGTTTGCGTTGCGATGCGGGGAACGTATTGTGTGTACCTAGCGATAGCGTGTTGGCGATGGATGGCTACGTGGTGCAGCGCAGGTCGGCGAAGCGCTGGGCTAAATATATGCTGATCACGTTGCGTCAGGAGACATTGACCAGCTAAGAGTGTGGGCGGAGATATTTTGCGAGCACCGAGCTGGAAGCCGAGCTTCACGTCAAGGCTACCTCCTGGCTGTAAGCTGCCTGCAAGCCGACACATGTGCTGCCTAGCCTCTAATCTCGATTGAGCGGCCAAAGGGAGCTAAGAACGTATATGCGCTCCAATTTCGTGCACAAACGAATAGTAGAAAGTCACAGTGCACCTGGTCCGTTATCTCCGAGCTGAGCGTGGGACGGGGGCAGCAGCAAATTCTGACAAAAGAGACATCTATAGAAATTCGAATTGCATCCCCATTTTGGAGCCCCGGACACCCGCCCGACGCCGCTACAGCTTCGCCCATGGCGACTTGTTTATCCGAAACCGCATCAGCGCCGCCAGCGCCGTCGACGCGAGCGCTAGCGACCCGGCGTAAAACATGGCGGGCCGGTACGCCTGCAGGCCGTTGTCGGCGCCGCCGTAGGCCGCGAGCAGGTAGCCGGCGATGGGGGCGCCCATGAGGTAGCCGCCGCCCCAGCCCGTGACGACCATGCCCATGGCGATGGCGACGCGGGCGGACCCGAACGTGTTGCCCATGACGGTGGGCATGGCGGCGAAGAAGCCGCCGTTGGAGAGGCCGTTGACGACCACGAATACCGCCAGCGGCGGCAGGCTGGTCGAGGCCGGCCACAGCGCCAGCATGCTGGCCGCGTTGACGGCCGTCGAGATGATGAGCGCGTTGAGCGCCCCAAGCCGGTCGCACAGGAGGCCCGTGCCGATGCGGCCCACGGCCGACGAGAAGTTGAAGCCCGCGACCAGGCCCGCGCCCACGCTGGACGAGTGGCCCATGGCCTGCGCGTACATTGGGGTGAAGAAGGGGGGCACCAGGACCGGGAAGACGGCGATGCCGCTGGCCAGGAAGATGAGGAAGAAGTTGAAGTCCTTGAAGAGGCGCCTGTGGATGCAAACTTTAGCCATGACCCCCGACTGCCGAGATAAAAAAGGCACAAGCGTACCAGTCGATAAACTTGACCCGGTGGGTAATCGGCACCCGCTCCTTAATGAACCACGCCGCTGGCAACCCGGTCGACAGGACGGCCAGCCCCAGGATCCGAAAAGTCCACGCGGGGCCGACGCGCTGCAGCAGCGAGTCGAGGCCCAAGCTGATGACGGCACCTCCGATGCCGCCGCCGCTGTAGACGATGCCGTTGGCCAGGCCGCGCTTGCGGCTAAAGTACTGCGCCGGCACGACGCCGCACGACAGGAAGCACAGGCTCATGGCGACGCCCTGGACGACGCCGGCCGTGAAGAAGAGCCCCGGCACGCTGTCGACGGCGAAGCCGCTCAGCAGCGCGCTGAGCCCGAGCGTGAAGATGCCCAGCAGCGCGGTGCGGCGCACGCCCAGGACGCCGAGCAGGCGGGCCGTCGCGACGCCCAGGACGGCCATGAGGGTGGGCGCGAGCGAGCCGACAAAGGACAGGGTCGCGGGCGTCGAGAGGCCGCGCCGGACCAGGTCGGCCTGGATGATGCCCCAGCTGTAAGGGGTGCCCGTGTACCACATGCTGGCCACGGCCGAGCAGCCGATCACGACCCAGCCGTACCCGCCGTCGGGCACCTCGCTGTCGGCCAGCCGCGACGCCTCGAGCACCGGGTCGCGGTCGCTGTCGTCGCTCGCATTCTGTTGCTGTTGCCCCACGGCCAGGCGGCGGCCGTGTTGTGTCAGGACGCTCCCGGCGCCGTCGGTGTCGGTGGCGCCCGCGTGGGATTCGAGCTCGTACGCCGTCGTCTTGGACCCGAGGACCACGGCCGGAGCCATCGTTAGCGTTTCGGTCGCCATGTTGGGTGTGTCTGTCCTGCCAGTGCGCTTCCAAGAAGCTTGCTAGGGATGTGCGTGAACAAGATGATTGCGTTGAGAAAATAATTTGTTGCGAAGAGCCCTGTTCTTATTCGTCGTCGATGACGCCCATCGGACTTGGCCGCCCTGTCAAACCCGCGCCCTTCGAGTGGGCCTATATGCATGTCCGACTTCGGCATGTGGGTTTTATTTACTCGCAGCGTCTGGTCAAGGTGCTAGCTAGATCCCTACTAGCACTAGACTTGATTTTACAGCAGGCGATTCCGCCTTTGGCACTGCTGTCCCCGACCCTCGGACTAGCCACTTACATTGGCCTTGCCGCTGGTCCTCTCCACTACCATCTATCCCAACACGCCCATTCCCAGCTCAGCCTCGCCCATTAAACCTTCTTCGGACGCCCATCTTCACCAACCTCTTCGCTCTTGTCGTTCAGCCCGCTCCACTTAGCAATCCCGTCGCCGGCAAAGTCGACGACGCGCTGCGGATAAAATAGGTGCGACTGCGGCTTGAAGGCCTCCCTGGCGCGCTCGTCCAGGCCCTCGATCAGGGTCGGGAAGAGCAGCACCATGTTCCGGCCCTCGTCCATGATGGGTGTATGGCAGAAGGCGCAATACACCTTGCATGGCAGATGGTGCTCGGGCGACTTGGTCGGGGTGTGGTACCAGCTCAGGCCCTGCGCGCCATGCTTGAAGTGGATGTCGGTCTTGTGGAAGATTGCGGCCCATTGAAAGGGTGCCTAGCGTTTGCTTTCGTCAGCGGGCAGGCCATAAGGACACTCTTCGGCTTCCGGGACGGGGTCCTGAATTTACACCGTGAAGGACCCTGCAGTCGCCGCAGTGGCAATACTTGGACTGCAGCGGCTTGTCCCGGGTCAGGCTGTACTCTATCCTCCCGCAGTGGCAGCGGCCGGTCCAATGCACTGTTGCCCCGTCGGACGGCCCTTCGGTCGAGTATGGGACGCTCGTCTTCCAGTCTTGTTCATTCATGTTGGGTGGATGGGTGCTGTTAGGCCTCTCGCTCACTGCTGTAATGGGCGGTTCTGGCAAACTCGAGGCGTTTACAGTTGAGCGCTCCCATTTTTATCCGCAGCACAACTGGTAACACCAGCTGACGTCACATTTACACAACGACTTCAGCATCCATACAGTCGGCAAGTCCCCACCACAATGGATTGGCCACAGCCACCCCCTACAACTGACACAACGACAGGGCGAGGCTTGGCCAGACGCCTTGCGGTTGGTAGCAGATGGCTGTATTGAATCGGGCAGCAGCAACAAACTGCACCCACGCCTTAATGGGAAGTCGTCTTGGGAACGTCCAGTAGGTCGACAGAGAGGCTCTTGACAACGAACTTTCACTAGAATAAAGTAATTTCTGCTTGTGTATCAGGCCCTGGAAATTCTCGACGGCCCAAAGCCGACGAAGCATACACAATTGCACATCGTGACCCCGGAGAACCGCTGCCGCTGCAGGAGATGCTGAGCCATCGGGAAGGCCCAATGGGAAGCAGCAACTGGTTTTCAGCATCCGCCACCATGAAGCTCACAGCTACCCAGCCCACCTGCCGGGCGGCCCTTCCCCCTCCTTCATCCACACCCCTCGGGCCATAGATCTTACCCCTCGCCCTGCTTCTTCGTGTAGGCACTTCTCCCTTCCTCACGCTGCCCGCACAATTGACTCTACCGCTTTTTTCCTTCCAAGTTGCCATCGTTTTTCTACTCTAGCTGTCGCAACACCTGCGCGGATGACATCCCCCAGCAGGCCCCCGCGCAAGAAGCTGACTGCAGAGGACTACCAAGTCGCCTGGATCGCGCCTCTCCCCGCCGTCGAGCTGCTTCCAGCCCGGCTGATGCTCGACGATGAGCACGACAGGCCCGACTACGACACCCACCACGACGAGTCGACCTACTACTACGGTGAAATCCACGGCCATGCCGTCGTTATCACCACATTTTCGGGCAGTGGCTTTACCGGAAATGTCAACGCGGCGCGGCTAACAGGCCCGCTCTTCAAGACGTTTCCCAAGATCCGCATGACCTTTCTCGTCGGCATCGGCGGCGGCGTCCCCTCCCACTCGGCCGACATCCGCCTTGGCGACGTCGTTGTTGGCTTCTTGGAGAGTGGCAAATCCCCCTGCGTCTACTACGACTTTGGGAGGGACAGACCTGAGGGCTACGAACGCAAAGGGCCCGAGATTCCAGCACCGTCGCACAGGATCCTGAGTGGATTGGCCAGGGTGGTGTCGGATCACGAGCTCGGACAAACGCGGTTCGGCGACCAATTGAACAGGCTGCGCCAACACCCTACCCCAAAGCTGAGGCGCACATATGCACTCCCTCCAGAAGAAACAGACCGATTGTTTGTCGCCGAATACCAACATCAACAAGACGGAACAGATTGTGGCGGGTGCGACCAACACAGAGTCGTCACGCGGCGTCGCCGCGATGATGAAGAACGGGAGGGTATAGTTTTCCATCAGGGACGCATCGCCACAGGAAGCTCGGTCGTCAGGGACGCGAAGAAAAGGGATTATATCAGTAACCAGTGCGGCGGCGTGCTTTGCATCGAGATGGAGGCTGCGGGCGTCGCTGTCAACGGTAATTGTCTGGTGATTCGCGGGATATCCGACTACGCAGACTCCCACAAGAACGATACCTGGAAGGACTGTGCAGCTGCCCACGCGGCTGCATTTGCCAGGGAGCTACTCCGTATCATTCCGCCTGATCCAGTTGGCCAGGTTCGCCACTCTGCCCCCTCCCTCCAGCCACACTCGTCCCAGGTTCCACTCTCTAGATCCCATGCTAGCAACACCGGCGACGTGTATGCCACTCGTCAGACGACCCAGGAGGATGAAGCTATCACGACTTTAGGATATAGTCAGGCCCGCAGCATACGCCACACCATATCTAGGCCAGCTGATGGAACATGTCAGTGGATCTTCAACCACCAAGGCTTCAAGGGCTGGTTCGATGGGAGCAACCAAAACCAGTTCCAAGGTCTGGTCTTGATACGAGGGAGCCCAGGGGCCGGAAAATCAACAGTCATGCTCGAGGCTTCCATCAGAACTAGCACCCTCGCCCCAAACTCAGCAGTCGCTTCCTTCTTTTTCAGTGCCAAGAGCGGCCCAACAGCACAGTCGTTACTTGCTTGCTACAAGTCCCTACTCTCTCAACTCCTGCCGCACTATCCCCACAGTCGGGAGCGCTTTTCAACACTTCAAAAGCGGAAGTTGGTGCTGAGGAATGAGCAGGAGTGGACCGAAATCAAACTGGAAGATTTTCTCCACGACATGTCAGTTATCTATTCGTTCTTCAACAATCTCTCCTGGTGGCTTGAAAGGCAAAGGTTCCCAGCGCATAAGGGCCACTTTCCTTATCCAAAAACGCAACTTCATTTGCATTTCCACGCATTCAGTGCGTCTCAAAGTATTCATAACTGACTCAATCCTCCAGGCTCGTTGAAGAAAACAACAGTCAAGGGACTTTCATCTTCGTTGATGGCCTGGACGAATGCAACGCAGATATCCAGTGCCAGGTTAACTATTGGAGACGCATCACCGCCAAGGCGTACACAGCAGGAGTTCGGCTTGGTGTTTGCATCTCAACAAGGTGCTTCCCGCACATCACCGTCCGCAATTGTCTGGAAATCGAGATTGAGAAGAACAACAGCCAGGATATTATTACCTACGTCGACCACACGCTTGGCGATGTCTTCGCAGAATATGACGAGGTCGACCTGACCCAAATCAAGACGAAACTTCTTTGCCGTTCCAACGGAATTTTCCTCTGGGTAACTCTGGTAGTGGAGTCGATTATCGAAAAGCACAACTCTGGTGATCCACCGGATCTCCTTCTGGAGCAGATCGATGCAGTGCCGAATGAGTTGGAGGCCATTTTCCACGAGCTCATTCAAGGCGTTGACCAATCAGCCAAGGCCACAGCACTCAGTGTCTTCTACTGGGCGCTTTTGGCAACCAGGCCGCTTCGCCTGTATGAGTGGCATCACATTCTGGCCTTTAGCTCCGACTTTCCGCCTACCTCACTTGGGCAGTGGAGGGAGTCAGCAGGGTTCATTGGTAGTCGACGAGAAGTTAAAGGATACAATGGCCCGTGGGTACAAGGCTCCAAGAGAAAGACGGAGGATGAAGGGCTGTTGGAAAGAAAAATCAAATGGTTGTCACGGGGCCTCCTCACTGTTACCGCAGGCAGCGCAGCATTTTCTGGTGGGAAACCAGCCCCCTCGCTTCCCGACGCCGGATTTTGCGAGCTAGATCCCAGTGTATCGGGAGTGCCATGCGCCAGCGCCGGCTCTTTCAACTCCCGGCAGGGCGACACGCGCTTGGTCCAACCCATTCACGAAACAGTCCGAGCGTTCTTTCTGACGGGCAAGGGCTTTGCCGCTCTCGGCTCCGACTCGAGATGGCCGGTGGCCCAAGGACACATATCGATAATGAACACGATTCTTGATTATATTCACGTCAAGGAGCTCGACGACCTTGTTGAAGCGAGAGTACAAGCCGCCGAACGCAGCCGAGAAGACGAAGCTGCCAAACGGAGCCAAGAAGACGAAGCCGTCAACCGCATTCCGGGAAACCAAACCACCAAACGCCGAAGGGGTAGACGGAATAGCTCCAACGACGACGGCCTCAGCTCGGTGTCCAGCTTTGCGTCCGCGAGCAGTTTTCGGTTTAATGAACAGGCCTTGTACGACCGCAAGAAGAAAAAGCCAAAGGTGTCGAAACTAGCGGCTCAAGATGCCGATGACAATCCAAAAGGCGTGTTCCATGAACAATTACAGTCCTTAAACAAGCTCTCCGACTACGCGGAAAATTCTGCGGGAGTCCGGGCCGATCGTATTACTAGGTGGTTGGATGGGAGGGGATCGTCATTTAGTTGCTTTCCGTCCAACAGGGAAAGCACCGCAGCCCCTACCTACGCGACGTCAGCGCCATATTCGGATATGAGCAGCACACAAGAGAAGATGCTTGAGGAGTACCCGGGCCTTCTCCAGTACTGCCTTTCAGAGCTGTTTATTCACGCCAGGCTCGCAGAGGAGGCCGGGGGCGATATATCTATTCTCGATCACATCGTCGTCCGTCTTGAGGATCAGCCCAGTTGGAGGAGATGGGTCATACTTCGGGAGGAGGAGGGAATGCGGATGGATATTGATCCCCTCCTATATATCACACGGCTGGGGCTCAAGGACATGACCCAGAGGCTGTTCCGAGCTCGATCGGACGTCTCTGGAGATCTTATCTGTGAAGCGACCTATGAAGCCATCAGCAGGGCCGACGCGACCATCTTCAAGGTCATCTGCGAAGAGACTGAGGGGCGTGCCGTCCGGGCGCTCAAGGACAATGTCCCGATGCTGCACTACGCCGTAGCCAGCCGGAACTTGGAGATCTCATCAGAAATGATCCGACGCGGTGCTGATGTCAATGCCTTGTCCTGGGTATCTGGCATAGGCCACATCTCGGCTTTTCATCTTGCCTGCTGCACCAAAACGAACCAGAGGATGAAGGTAGGCTCGGGGATACAATCGGACACTCCAAGCCCCGAGCTCGCCGAGATGCTTCTGGCCAATGGAGCCAAGATCACGGACATGGTCAAGTGCTTCAACTTCTTCGAGCGTCAGACTCTAGAGGCCAAGGAAAGCGTCGAAATTATCGGGCTGATGGCAAAATACAAAACTAGTGAGGCCAACATCACCGCAGCCCTGCACCTGGTTCTTGCGGTTGGTGACAAGCCAAGGGCGCAAGAGGGCACACGGGCGCGTAGGGCCGGGTACCACGCCGTGGTGAAAGCGCTGGTGAGGGCCGGGGCCCGCATCGACGACTGGCCTTGCCTCTGCCCGGCCGCGCAGTCCGGCGACAGGGCCCTCGTGTGCTTGCTGATGGACCTCGGGGCCGACACAAAAGCCCGCGACAATGCAGGCAGGACGCCGCTCCACCACGCGGCCATGGCCAAGAGCTATTCCGTCGCGGCCGCCCTGCTCGAGCGCCGCGGCCGGGGCCAGGATATTGACCCGGTGGACAATCAGGGGAATACGCCCCTGAAGTACGCGTGCGACGGTTGTGGCTGCCAAAACTTCGCCGGGCGTCGGCTCATCAGGCTCCTGCTGCGCAAAGGGGCCAGCTTCTCGGCCGACTTTGCGCCTCGGGGGCCGAGCGGCGACGATTTGAGATTGCTTGTTCGAGAGACGACGGAGAAAGTTGAGTGACTGTACGGGCAGAGCAACGACGAGGACGCGTGGTGAATACCTAGCTTTCCTAAGGAGCTGGCTGTTGCGGGGCGATCTTGGCGGTTCACAAACACAGCTTTGGCGTCTGCCGTCGGGGATCTGACGGAACTGGCTCATGCGGCAGCCTCCACCGCAAAGTTCGCGGGCGATACTCGTCACTGACAGAATAGGTTGAGGGACGGATTTGGTATTCGAACGCCAAATGCCTTCTCAAACAGACATGGACTGACTTCCAGTGCCCCACAATCACTGCAAAAAGTTGATCATATTGACAGGCCTCCTAGCGTCGCAAGCCGCCCTTCCGCAAAACTCCAAAGTACCGGTAAATATCCAGACCATTAATGACATCAAGATGCGAACAAATGCATTTATACCGCACCCAATCCCCAAAAGGGACTTTTGCAAAAGCATCCGCTAGATCCGCGACCTCATGGCCGGCTCCCCGGACCCCGAATCACCCCCTTCGTTCCCCAGCACCTCGTCCGCCATGGCGCGGCCGGCGGCGCGGCCCGAGAAGATGCAGCCGCCGAGGAAGGTGCCCTCGAGCGAGTTGTAGCCGTGGACGCCGCCGCCGCCGAAGCCGGCGGCCTCGCCGGCGGCGTAGAGGCCCGGGAACCTGGAGCCGTCGGGCATCATGACGTTGCTCGACAGGTCTGTCTCGATGCCGCCGAGGGTCTTGCGGGTGAGGAGGTTCATGCGCACGGCGATGAGGGGCCCGTGCTTGGGGTCCAGCAGGCGGTGCGGGGCGGCGACGCGGCTGCGCTTGTCGGGCGCGTAGAGGCGGCCGTTGTTGATGAGCATGGCCTGGGCGTCCTTGCTGTAGGGGTTGTCGAACTGGGCGTCGCGCGCCTCGACCACGTCGCGCACCGCGGCCGCGTCCAGCCGGGGCCCGCCCCGCTCGGCCGCGAGCGCGTTCATGCCCTCGACCAGCTCCTCGAGGCTGTCGCGCACGACAAAGTCCTCGCCGTGCTTCTGGAAGTTCTGGACCGGGATGGTGCCCTTGGAGCCGAAGACGCGCTGCGTCAGGACCTGCCAGATGGACTTGTTGGTCAGGTCCGGGTTCTGCTCCGACCCGGACAGGGCGAACTCGCGCGCGATGATGGACTGGGTTAGTATGAACCACGTGTAGTCGTAGCCCGTGGAGCAGATGTGCTTGAGCGTGGCGAGGGTGTCGCTGCCAGGGTACAGGAAGGGCGGCAGGCGCTTGCCCGTGGCGTCGAGCCAGAGCGACGACGGGGCCGGCAGCACGCGGATGCCGTGCGACGGCCAGATGGGGTTCCAGTTGGCCAGGCCCTCGGTGTAGTGCCACATGCGGTCGCGGTTGACGACGTTGGCGCCGGCGCCTTCGGCGATGCCGATCATGCGGCCGTCGACGTGGTGCGGGACGCCGATGACGAAGTGCTCGGGGACCTTGGGGCCGAGCCTGTCGACGGGCCAGGCGGCCTTGACGGCGTCGACGTTGCCGCCGATGCCGCCCGACGAGACCAGGACGGAGGCGCCGCGGATGTCAAAGTCGCCGACGACGGTGCGCGACGACCGCACGCCGCGCGGCACGTCGTCGTCCTCGAGCACCTTGCCCTTGACGCCGACGGCGCGGCCCTTGTCGTCGACGACGATCTCGTCGACGCGGTGGCGGAACCTGAACTCGACTATGCCCTTCTTCTCGGCCTCCTGGACCGGGTCGGCGAAGCGGCGGACGACCTCGGGGCCGGTGCCCCAGGTGACGTGGAAGCGCGGGACCGAGTTGCCGTGGCCGTCGGAGCGGCCGTCGCCGCGCTCGGCCCAGCCGACGTTGATGAGGAAGCCGATGCCGCGGGCCTTGACGTAGTCCTCCATCTCGTCGGCGGCAAAGTTGACAAAGGCCTCGGCCCAGCGGCGCGGCCAGTGGTCCTCGCGCTCGCGGTCGAAGCCGGCGCTGCCCATCCAGTCGCGCATGGCCAGCGCCTTGCTGTCGCGGATGCCCATGCGGCGCTGGGCGGCCGAGTCGACGACGAAGAGGCCGCCCAGCGACCAGAAGGCCTGCCCGCCCAGCGACGCGCGCGGCTCCTGGTCCAGGATGAGGGTGCGCACGCCGCGCTGCGACAGCTCAAAGGCCGCCACCAGCCCGGCCAGGCCGCCGCCCACGATGATGACGGGCTCCGTCTGCCCGGCGCCGGCGGCGGGCGCGCCGTTCTTGTCGGCCATTGCGGCGGGCGGGCTGTGCTGTGTGTTTTTGTGTGACCGTCGAGCGTCCAAGGGGCTCGCCTAGCTTACGAAGCAGGCGCCTGGCAAATTGTCAGATAGGGGTTAGGTCTCAATCCACAGCACCTGGTGATTGTCGTCAAGATCGGCCGACCGGCTTGGCGCTCTTTTAGTAGTTTTCGTGGAATATCATGCTTTGTCGACCACTGCGACGGTCGACCAAAAAGCCAAACACCCGAGGCGCGAGCCCAGGAGCGGGCATCGTGCCTAGTGCCTCGGCACAAAACCCCCAAATGCCCCCGCCCATCCACCACCCCAAACCCCAAGCATCCAATCCCGACGTGAGCGATGGAGACGTGTCAAGCTGTGGGGTTTGGGTGGAACTGGAGACTGGACTCTTCAATGGGCTGATGTCAGCCCATGTCCATAGCAATTCGCTTTCGTTTGTGAGCATTGAAAAGGCTATTGAGCCCCCTCTCCGCGTGGGTTGGCTGTCCTTGTCTCCCGGGTGCGTGCGTGGTGTCCTGGCTCCATACGCGATACGCCGCTTGGAGACAAGCATGACTTGGGTGCTTGATGCTTGGTCTGTGTGCTCCCAAACAGTCAAGCGGGGGCGCGGTTCGCCGCCTCCAGCTGGGGACTCCACTTCCCCAGATCCGCACCTTAGAGGTTCAGGGCCTAATTCCAGGTGCCACAACGCTGTGGAGTGCCGGGGTGTCTTCCAATTCGGCCACCATGACTACGCTGGAGCGTTCAAGCATGTGAAATACGAGCAACGTCAAATCGTGTTCATGGCCTAATGGCGGCTGCGCAATGCGACGAAGATGTGAAGCAGAATTGAGGGAACTGAACTGATACCCGACCAAGAAATATGCAGCAAGCCAGGACTGACAACGCTATGCTAAACGCCCATACCTAACCACCAAAACAAAAGGACAAACATGGAATACAAACCACCGCTAACGTCCCCCTAGGCCACGAACCGGTGAGCCACGGCCTCTATCTCGCCATCCGCCTCCTCGACAGGGGCACCACCGGCGTGATCCTCTGCGAGACCCCCGGGCCCGTCCTGCTTCCCCTTCTTCTTGCCCTTCTTGCCGGTGACGAACCGGCCGATGCGCTTGAGCCCGTTGCCGACCTTGTTCACGATGTGCGGGATGTGGGGCGCGACCGACTTGATGAGCTGCGGCGCGAGCTTGAACAGTCCGCCGACGCTCGCCTCTCGAAGCGGCTCCAAGTGACCTGATGCCACACGAAAATTCACCTGGCTACAGTTAGATAGTGCCGTCCGTTCCGGTAAGAGTAATCTCGGCGATTCCTCGATCGCAGTAAGGGACCGGTAACCACTTCTCGTGGGCTTGACAGCGGCCAGCGCCGCCTCCATCCCTTGGTGCCGGTGATGCGGAGGAAGTGGCATCTCCCACTACATCCAGCCGCGTCGGCCGGCCTGGGGGTGTAGAGCCGCCACCCCATCAGAGGCCAAGCGGATGCACCGCACATTGCCCAGATGCCGAGGCTGCCAACCGCCTCGGCAGAGTGGCTGGCGGTTGAAAGGAGGTGCATTCAATAAGGCGTAGCCGTGGCTAGAAGAGTGGAACGGTAAGCCTTTGCCAAACCGCCAGTTACGCCCCGGCAAATGACTGTGGGCTGAGTTGATTGAGCACGATTGTGAGTTGACACCCAGAACGGATTGCCTAGGTAGGGAGCTCTATGATAGCCAAGAGCGTCGACACGAGCGTGCATGCGTGCACACGCGTGACACAACGCTGGGCAATGAAAGAGTCAATAGAAACAAGTAAATAAAAAGGAGAACGAAGCACAAAAGGTAAAGGAATAAAATAAAATAAAATATGCTGCTTGTAACCGAATTATAAATCCTAAGTGAATAATCCGGCCAATGAATTGCATATCAAAGCAAGATTTTCCATCTCAAAGAAATCAATAGAGACTTGCATGGATTCATCTCTTAGGGTCTTGAATCTATTAGACTTGTACAGAACGACGATACACCGGTCAATCTATTAGAGCGCTTGCTTGTCAAAGCCTGGAACAAGAAACTTGGGGCTAAGATACCGGGCGTGGGTAACAGCATTTCCGGCAAGAACGCACGTGACATACAATACTGAGAGACAACTAAGCTATAAAATAAAGTATGCGGGCCACAGCCCATCCCGAGGATCGGTCTGCCCGCCGTGACTCGGGTACCGGCAGCTGGCCCCCCCGCTTGGCAATTTTTGTCTCGGGGTTTCTCTCGGGCTCGTCTCGGGCGTTGGGTGCAGCCAAGAATTGTGGCTTCGGCGGGTGGTCAGCCAAAACTTTACAAGGCGTGCTTCTTCGTCTAGGTTGGACTAGGCCTAGATAGGCCTCTTCGCCTGCCGCTTGCGTCATTGACTTGCAACACAGGAACGCAGCTGGTTGGCTCGACAGCGAGGGAAGATTCTCTGGTTTGGAGCAGCCTCGAGGTGCGTCGCAGAGCAAAAATACCCAGCAGCAACATCACACAATGTCCAAGGCACGCGTCATCTACTGGTTCCGCACCGACCTGCGGCTGCACGACTCGCCCGCGCTCCAAGCAGCGCTGGACCTCGACCCGGCGGTCCTTTGGCCGATATTCACGTGGGACCCTCACTACGTGTACCGGGCCAGGGGCGGGCTGAACCGCTGGCAATTCTTGTCAGTCCCCCCTTTCAATGCGCGGGCCAAGCCTCGGGAAATCCTGGCAGGGTATGCTGACGCGCTGGTCGCATTGGGCCACAGGCTGGACTGCCAGAATGACCTTTCGGCGTCCATCAACAAGCTGAACCCAAAGTCCAAGCTTTTCGTGCTGCGGGAGGCGCCGCAGACGCTGTTCCCCAAGCTCTTCAAAGCCTGGGACGTGACGCACATCGTGTTCGAGAAGGACACGGACTCGTATGCCCGGCGGAGGGACGCCGTTGTGACCCAGGCCGCGCGCGATGCCGGCGTGCGCGTCATCACACGATGCGGACGGACCCTGTGGGACAGCGACCGGGTCGTGATCGCCAACGGGGGCGAACCGACCATGTCCATCACGCAGCTCCGGGTAGCGGGCGCAAAGGTCGGGCCCATACCCCTGCCGATAGCGGCGCCCACCACTTTGCCGGACCCCGGCGAGATGCCGGTTGACTTTGAGGTGCACCTCCCAAACGCCGAAGCGTCCATCGACATCAACTCCAAGTGGAGGAGTGAGGGCAAAGACACAACATACGGCAAAGGCAGTGTGGGTGAAATTGCAGGCCCGAATGGTGACTTTGCTGTCGAAACCCTCGCCGAGCTGGGATACCCGCCTGCAACCACACCACACAAGGGCGGGGAGACGCTAGCGCTTCAGCGGCTGGACGAGCTGATGGCGGACCAAGAGTACACAGCCACATTCCGCAAGCCGCAGTCCAGCCCTGCCGACTTTGATCCGCCGTCGACGACTCTGCTGTCGCCATTCTTGCACTTCGGCGCCTTATCGGTCAGGCTCTTCTATCACCGTGTTCAGGACGCTGTGGATGCCTATGTCAAGTCGCGGAAGAAGGGCGCGTCGCAGCCGCCCGAAAGCCTGACGGGCCAGCTATTGTTCCGCGACATGTACTTTGCGGCGCAGGCGGCCATCGGGGACGTGTTCGGGCAGACTGCGGGTAATCCGCGCTGCAGGTTCATACCGTGGCATCTACCATCACGGCTCGAGGGCGACGCGGGCCCTCTCCGCAGCTTCGCGTACGACGTCGACTCGGCGCAGGCTGAGGACTGGTTTAGGAGGTGGGAAGCTGGACGCACAGGCTTCCCCTGGATCGATGCGTTGATGCGACAGCTGCGCGTCGAAGGATGGATCCACCACTTGGGTCGGCACAGCGTAGCCTGTTTCCTGACGCGGGGCGGGTGCTACGTGTCGTGGGAGCGTGGGCTTGACGTGTTCGAGGAGCTGCTGCTGGACCACGAGCCCTCGTGCAATGCGGGCAACTGGCAGTGGCTCAGCTGCACGGCCTTCTTCTCGCAATACTTTCGCTGTTACAGCCCCGTCTCGTTTGGGCGCAAGTGGGATCCCGAGGGCACATTTGTGCGCCGCTGGGTGCCGGAACTGGCGGCACTGGATAAAAAGTACATATATGAGCCGTGGAAAGCGCCCGAGGCGGAGCTGCGCAGGGCGGGTGTTGTTCTTGTGGATGGATCTGGAGCTGGGGTTGGAAGAGTCAGGGCTGAAAGTGAAAGGGACGACGACGCGCGACGTACAGGCACGTACATCACACCAATGTTCGACTTTGACGAGAGAAGGCGTATTGTAGGTGCTCCTAGGACGGGCGACGGGCGGGATGCTCTGGGTACGTGAAGCTGACGGTGGACGTGGCAGTGTATGAGCTCAATGAAGATGGCCTACGATGTCGGCCTCAAAGGAGATGACCCGAGGGTCCTGGACGGCTCGTGGAGGGAGCTGTTTTCTGAACACGGCAACAGCAACGATGGCGAGATGATGGGCACGGTGAAACAAGAGGAGAGCGACCACGGCGAGCTCGCAGACGAAGCCGACGGGCCAAAGGCGAGGACCGAGGATGGGCCACACGCAGCCGTGAAGCGCGAAAAGGGGCAGACCACGCTGGACCGTCATGTGAAGAGGCAGCGTAGGAGTGCAGCCGAGTGACGGGCACCCGACTGGTCGCGATGCGTCCTTTGCCTTGGCGTTTGGAGACGCGACGGCTGCAGCTGAGCGCAGCTAGCGGCATCGGCATCGTCAGAAGCGGCAGGAGATAAGGCCTGCACAGGGCCGTGACAGGGATGCAGCTCGCAGGGAGGCCTGTTGGGTTGGCGATATTGTTTTCGCGGGCCCACATCTCCCCGCAACCTTGTTCCGTCAAGAGACATCGCCAGGCCTTCCTTCCGAATAGGGCTTGGTTGACAGCAGTGGGGGCTGCTGGGCGGGACAAGGGCCAGCCAGTGGTCAATCAGTGCACGTCAATCCAGGCTACAGGCTCGCCCGACGACCCGGACAGCACTGCCTGATTCAAGTTGCAGAACATCCTCTCACGCTGACGGCTTGGCAGTCAGCATTTTTGTGGGCTTGTTTGTTTGCATCGGGCGCCGCTCATAACGCTAGGTTCGATAAAATACCCGTGGTCGAGTGATAAAATGCAGATGCTTGTACTGCCGATATCAAGGCTTGACTGGATTCCCCTTTGCGATCGGGCTGTGGCCATGATTGTGGTTCAACCGTGCCATCTTCTCACACGATCTCTGGCGAGGCGGGTGAGCTGACAGCGGGGCTTTGGGGTTGGGACTCGCTGTTGGGCGGGAAAACGCTCCATCGGTCAATTCGGTCAAATCGACGGGGTCTTTCCCCAGGAGCTTGGCGTTCGTAAGTTCGCGATTGACCAAGGCCGCCATGGGCAAATCACAGGCAGCAATTGCCAGCAAGCGCCGCCTGCGTCCCCTCCCCCAGACTTGAAGGCGCCGCTGATGACATTTCTGTTTGTCACAGTTTGACGCCACCACGCGGCGCTGGCGCTCCAACTACGATTGCCGGACGAACTTGGACAAGACGGGCAACTTGTCCAGTGCGCTCTTCCCACTTCCCCAGAACACTCCCCAGAACACCTCGCTGCCTCGGTCCCGCACACATGCCCACATAGCGACCGAGACCGAGCCAACACCCCAATGCGAGCGCATTGAGCCAAGCAGCGTGTAGGTATCAAATGGACGTCGGTTTACACAGTAGGGGTAAGGGTCAACCCTCCCTTCCAGGCCTTCTCTGCATTCTCTGCATTCTCTGCATTCTCTGCATTCTCTGCATTCTCTGCCTTCTCTGTCATGTGATAACTATCACGGCCAGTCCCGGTGACGCCGCGACATTCTCGCCACCCAAGATGATCGACGGAGCGCCAGGCTGCCTGTTCTTTAGGCCAACGTGCGTTACATAACAAAACCAGACAATCGGGCCCAACTACCTGGGCGACCAATGGGTCGCTCGAAAAATCGGTATCAGCTGCCAGTGGAGAGTGTCCCTCGCTGCTGGGTCCAAGGTCCACGAGATCCTCACAACCCACCGTTGCCCATGAGCAAGGCGGGGCCGGCCTAGAGTGAGCATCGACCAATTTACCGAGTATTGTCCCACAGACAGGGAACAGGCCCCTCCCTATCTTTGGCGCCAAGCGGCCCTGTCCGCCTATCTACTGTGTACGATGAGCAGCGATACGGTTGGTGCTCGGGTGCATTCTGGATAGGATTCGGCAACAGGCGATCCAGCGCATAGTTATCAGCGCTCCAGGCCGGCAGCAGCCAGCCAACCAACCAAGACGGATGGGTGACAGCGCGCTCACCTGAGATATCGACGCCTGTCTATCGGTCACGAAGGGACCAGACTCGCTTGGCCGAGCACGACGATGAATTCAATTCCGGACGTGGTGGGTGGGTGGGCCAGGCCAGATAAGTGGTCCGCGTCTGGCTGCCTCGATTCTTTTCTCCAAATCCTGTCGACAGTGTCTTGGACTCGACTGGCCAGCTCGGCTCCCGACAAGGAGAGAGCAGGAGGAGCGCTGGCAGGAAGCAGGAAGCTGGGCTCTCACGCTCTCTCTGGCACCCCCAATCTCGCCGCCCCAAATATCCCACCTCTGCCCAATCGAAGACGCTCCATGGCGCGCCGAGATGTGCCACCCTCTCCCACCGACGGGGAAAATTGGCATAGATAGGTAAGATCCACAAAGTCTTGGGAGCCCTTTGGACCTGCCAACCTGGGGTAAAGGCGTCGGCGCTCGTCGCACCTTTCTGGCCTTGGCCCGCCCTGGGGTGGCAAGGGCCCCCCTGGAGTGGCAAGGGGCCCCGGTCGTTTGCCAACACGCCACAGCAATTGGACAGCGGCTGGCGGGGGGTGGACCCGTGCCACCTGACGAGAGCTGCCGTCGAGCAAGGCTGGCCGTCCCCAACGTCGCACCGGCTGCTGAGCGCCCACCAGTGGGAGGCCGGAGGATGGAGCCGATGGCCTCGGCGCCGAGCCGAAGGAAGTATTGCTGTGTGGGCTTGTATGGAGCCAAGCCCTGGGCGTGCATGTTGCACCATCAGGCAAAAGGGAGAGGAGGGGGGCAGGGGGTCTAATGGCTGGCCGTGCTGGGCCTGCTATCGCCGCGACATCAGCAGCACGCAAACGGGCCCGACGAGCCAACGATCCAACAAGTCAACGCCCCCCGCCCCTCTTGTCCTTGTTGACCAGACCAGACGGGAAGCTGGCTGCTCGTCCAGCCCGCCGCCGCTGACGACCCTGGCGGGTCGCGACCGCGTAGAACAACGGAATGGCTTCCATGCATGCGACGCGCAGCCCGTACTGTCCACCACCCAGCTTCCACCCGTCCTGGCAC